TACTTCATAAGTTCCAAACTGATGTCTTAGATTCCTTTGCAAGGATATTGACTATTGCTTTGATATCTTCTCCGTCATGTCTCTGCGTCTTACATGTCTTCAGAATTTGATTTCAAATGGATTTTACCGACGGGGTGTTCTTCTATGATTCTCCTTCCTAGCTGTACTACTATTTGCATTTTGAGCTCTGAAACCAATGTATGCCACATCATTTTTGAGCTACGTATGTCGTGTGGTCTGTTAATGAGAGGGCTGACTTATAGAGTCCGATACACGTGTTTCGACCTTGCAATCTCGTCAGTCAGACAGTTACCCTTTCTCGTCTTTTGCTAATCTCTGCGAACACAGAGTGTTGTACACTCGAATGCTCTATGGCTAGTATATTCAATATATCGTATCTTTTGTTTCGAATGTCACATGACATGCGTGGCTCAAAAATCATTTTGTGGCATATTAAATTTGAGCTGTGCTCTGAAAAAACACTCGAAACGAAAGATATGACATATTGCAACGAATGTATTTGACTGAGTCTTGCGAAGAGAACTATACCAATCACATAGGTGCTGTAATACAAATTATAACTCGAAACATCAAGTAGGTTATAATCACCGAATATGACGTTCAACCTCATGCGCTATCCACTGCATTATCAAAAGCGTTCTTCCTTTTTCTCTCTCAAATTCAGACTTATCGGTGATGGCAACGATTACCAGTCAACGGAAGTGATCTTATGCACATGGCAGCATTGAATCAAGCTGACCTTAACCTTCAATCGATGTCACTATGGTTCAAATTTTATGTTCTGTCTGTGATTTTCTCGTAGAATAGTATAATACAACTGCATGAATGTTGTGATAAGGACAATACTTAGAGCCTCAACTAAATTTCGTATTGTGCTTTTACTTTTTGGTTAATAATTGTTAGCTTCACCATATAGAACACATTGGCAGCGAGACTCTTCTCTTTGCTTAATATCACATGAAGTTATACTGGAACGTGTCCACACTTTGCAGCGCCTAAATTGTAGCAATTATTCCACTGAACAGTTGCCATTTCCTTTCTCATCTATGCTATCCTTAGCATGTCATAAGATGTTTGATATTCTACTTGTAGATTATCAGCATAATCAAGCAGAGTTTTAGCAGCTGTTAATGTCGTTGGCTGGACTGATGGCTGTTTTTGCCTTGCATTTGGTTGCCAAACTGAGTTTGTTAATAGTAACAGGCTAAAATCTGCAGGATGACTGGATGGAAAGTGACTCCCACAGTGCTTCGTATGCCTACAAATGTCGCGTTGAAATCGCTAGCATCCGATCACATCGCTTCGCTCTCTTTCTTGATTTTCCCACTTCATTTATGCTTTGCTTAGCATGAAGCAAAATGGTAATCCATCCCACGCTCGCACATCATATCCTACCACAGGACGTTTTCGGAGGTACTCTCCTATCCCAGAAATCATTACGTGTTCATTATAGTTCAAATATATAATTCGGAAGCACATTCCTCATCACACTATCCTTACACACTTCAAGACCTGTTCTTCCGCACTCGTATAAATGCGTATTTTTGATATTTTCACCTAATGATTGATCGCTTAATTTATCCAACATCCAGATACGCTTCTCAATCTCGTTATTTTGTTATTCTGTGACTTTCTTATTCAGAAAACATGGGTTGTTGATAAACTGTCATTTGTACAACATAGCGTTACAATAGAGGCAGTTTCAATGGCTAACGTTCCAGCGGTTTCGCGTTCTTCAGAGTTTGAAAGAGCCAAATTGACATACATTTCACATAGTTGAACACTTTCATATCCAAAGTAGATAAAACCTAAACGTAAACGTAGAATTCAAATCGTATAGTAATCAACTTCTATTTAGTATTCTATCACACTCTAGTGATTCAAGCAAGATTTCAAAAAAGTCGGTTGAAAGATGTGACTGCACATGTCCATATCAGCTGTAAGCATGCAACCGACAATCAATCACCTGAAAGAACGCAACATCAAGTCATCATGCACTTGACGTGGAGAGGAACTTCATCGGCGACGATTCTTAATTACTGCAGAGAGGAGCAACCGAATGATATGTGGCACCGATGAGGCTTGCGAGAAAGCCGAAATGTACGTCTACCACTCAAGATGCCAAAGGCCCCTCTGAAATGTGCAAAACATTCTGTTAGACAAACAGAATTTTCTATCAAGTACCTACCGTATTTGTTGTTTCCTAGTCCACTACTTGACATGTAGACCATCCGCACCGAATGTTACATGGGCGAGGTATGTGCTTGTCTCGTATTCGCAAAATCGATCCGAGATTGACGCGAAATCACTCGTTATGAAGAGGCATTAATATTTTCAATATATGTTTGGAAATGATGTCAATCTAGAATTCTTCGAGAATTTTTCGCGCTGTGATTTTTCGTTCCTGTGAAGGATGGTTATTTCTATTCCAAAATTTACTCCTTTATGCCTCTGTGTCCTATGCGTACTTAGTGGATCTCCCAAATCCGTTTATTCCAGCTGTCTAGGTAATTTTCTGTGGTATCAAATCAGTTTTATCTTTTTTTCCTGGGTGTCCTTCCAAACGATCTATCGTGAAATACTGGCTTCAAATCTCCTAGCCTTTGTGCTATTTCTTCCCACTGTTCTTCGTGTTTGTTTGAAAGTATGAATCCACGAGTATTCATAATTTCACTAGTCTCGCGAAGCAGCTTTCATTCCAATCCGAGTGAAATGGTCCATCCATTCTGCTTTTCGGATATCGGTATAAGATGAGGAGTTTGTCCTTCTGCGAATACCATAATATTACAAAAACATTTTGAGTAGTGTTTTCTAGCTTTTTTTTCTGAAATGAGCAGCATAGGATATAATCTTTTGCTTTGTTGACATGCTCCGATGTCTTATCCATGTTTACTTTTATGCTTCGCTTCTGTTCATGTAATATCGGAGTATGCAACACGATGTTGTCTGCAGCAGCATTGTAGCCACCTAGTGTTCTGTAGACACTGTTACGGTTTTTGTGATGGCCGATATCGTTCACTTTATGGCTTTTTGTGCGCCCTGTATTTGGCTCGACGACAATCGTCAGCGTGGCTGTGTACTGGAGTGTTTACCTCATTTTCATAGGTTGTTGGTAACTTTGGAATTGTTGAATATTTGATCCACCAGGTACAGTATGCTCGACTCTGACACGAGTGAGTTTTATCAAACACGAGTAAGTATATTTAGCTAAATATGAATATGACGCAGTAGACAAAGCGAATATTGGGAGAGACGATGTTGAGTCTGATAGGGCGGCTTGAACACTAACTGTGCTTGTGGGTGGGATTATAGATTGACTAACATTACAGTTTTGCTACCTTCCTTCTTTGCCATGGGATGCTATCGCCTTTGGTAACCCTACTCCCAGAAATGGCACAAGCTTATGGCTGATAAAAGTGAAGTACCAAAAAGTGCAGATGAATGCTTGTTTGAATTTGGAGCAAAGAATGAAGCTGCCAGCTGCAAGCCTGATCGGCTGCTACAGGTAACACCATCTGCCTACAGTGTGTAGAATTACAGAAATAGATGTCGAATAAGGATTCAAAGCGGTTAACGGCTTTCGCTTGTGCCCTCATATGTGAGGAGAGAGTGCTTGATATTTTTCTTGGGTTCGTCTTATCCGGAAAATGACGTATTTGCTGCGTAAGTTTTTCACTGTCAGGTTGTTCGTGTTGTTGCTTGATTCATTGGGCTTCGAGAGGCTGGCTGCGTTTTCGAAAAGGATTGGCCAGTGCATCAGTATATAGTAAGCGAGAATCAAGCAGAGAGACGCGTGAGATGAGGGCATTTTCGACTCGACATTTGTAGGCAAGTGAAAATAGTGACAATGCAAGTTGTAGCAATTCGAAATGAATGGGATTTCAACGCAGAAGGTCAGCTGAACGTCGCACAAGGAGGATGGCGAGTCCAACGCGGAACTCAAAAGCTCCAAAAGTGCAAGTAACAAGCGGCACTTTCAACTTTTGTGCAGAACAAAAAGTTTGTGAATCAAAAAGCGTCAAGGCGAAAAATCTGGCACTTGCTGAATGCCTACCAACAAAGAGCAAGTAATAAACACCGTAGTTCAGTGATATAATGCTCACCTAGCACGGGTATGATATGGGTTCGACTCTCGGCTATGCATCAGTTTGTAATGCTCGCCTGTTATGTTTGCCACGCGGGACTTTTCATTATCATCATAGATCGGACAGCCTCTAGCTTGTTAGAATATAGATCAGCCGCAGCGAGTGTCACATGGACGAGGTATGTGTTTCCCTGGATACAGAAAAATCAATTCGAAATATGGCGCGAAATAGGGAGTGATGAGGGGCTTTCAACTTTTTGATTAATATTGGATTTTTAGTATAAATCCAAAGCGCTTCGAAAGTTTTCGCGCTGACGTTTTTCGTTTTTGTGCTAGGATTGTAATTTCTACCTCGAAATTTACCCTTTTATGGGTCCATGCCCTCTACGTACCTAGTGATATTTTGTGTCGGTCTTATCCATATATTCTACGTGTTATATTATACGGACATAGAAAGGCCTTCTCGTTTCGTTAGTGTATTCGCCGCCGCACCTTTGACAAGATGGGCAAGTGTATCCATGCTCATGCAATAATGATTCTAACGTTGGGGCAGATTATGCATCCTTGCGCTTTGCATAAACGGTTGCATTAGTGATTGAGAGCTAGTTGGATCCATAGAGTATTAAGTGGTAGTTCAATGCTCGTTACTAATTTCTTCAAGTCTGCCCACTTCAAAGAAAGCTTCGAAGCTATACTTGTCTCATCTGAAAAAGAGGAAAAATTAACGGGACTTGCATTCGTTGTAATCATTGTTTGGGAAGGCGTCATTCTCTCTAAGCCCATGCTGAGGAGCTAATGAACTAGGATATTTCAGTTACCTTGATCTATGATGATAAGGAAAAGTCCCACGTGGCAAACAAAACAGTCGAGCATCCAGTCAATTATTATAAACTGATGCACTGACCGGGAATAGAACCCGGGTCGTCCACGTGGCAGGTGGGCATTATACCACTAAACCATGGTACTTACTGCTCGTTTTTTGTTGATAGGCAATCAGCGAGTGCCAGCATTTTCGCCTTCACGCTCTCTGATTCACAAATTTTTCGCCAGCAAAAAAGTTAAAGGCCATGTTCGCAGTATGGAGCTTGTGAGTCGCGTTGACCCGCTATCCTCCTTGTGCAACGTTCAGCTGACCTTCTGCGTTGAAATCCTCATTCAGTACCGTTAAGGCTACAACTTACATTGTCATTCTCTTCATTTGCCTACAGATGTTGAGTAGAAAACGCTTGCACCCAGTCACATAGCCCTCTCTCGCTTGAGTTTCTTGCTTACTATGTACTCACGCATTGGTCAATCCGAGCCGAAAAGGCAACGAGTCCATCAACGCCCAACGATTCATGCAACAGCTCGGAGAACCTCACAGTAAAAAACTTACTTGCAAGTACGCTATTTTCTGGATAAGATGACCTCAGAAGAGAATATCAAACACTCTCTCCTTGCGCTTGAGTGCACTGACGAGAAACGTTAACTGTTAACTGCTTTAAATCTTAATTCGACACCTAACTCTGTAATTGTACGGACTGTAAGCAGATGATACACCTTGCAGCCGATGGGACTCGCAGCTCGCAGCTTATTTCTTGGTTTCAACTTCGAACAAGCATTCATCTGCACTTCTTCGTGCTTCACTTTTCACCAACCATAGATTTTTACCAGTTCTAAGAATAGAGTTACTGTAGCCCATAGCATCTCTCAGCAAAGAGAGAAAGTAGCAAAAAATCCACTGTTAGTCGGCCTGTAAGTCCAGCCCCCAGGCACAGTTAGTGTTCAAGCTGCTGTCATAAAAGTCGTTAGTGTCAGACTCAAGCTTACTCATCTGTTGGATTAATTATGCAATAGTCTCAAAGTTATCAACAGCCTATACAATGAGGTGAACACTCCACCGACGAATCTCGTCGAGCCGAATACCTGGCCACACAAAAAGCCATAAAACAAACGATATCGGCTATTCCAAAAAACTGTGGCAGTGTCAGAGAACACTAAATGGCTACACTGTTGATGCAGACAACATCGAGCTGCACATTCCGACATGAGATGAGCAAACTCAGAGCATAAAATTAAGCATAGTAAGAACACCGAAGCTTCCCAGAAGGCAAAAGATTATATTCTGTGCCTCTTAACTAGAAAATAAGGTAGAAAACACTTTTCAAAAGGTTTCTTGAATAACAATGTAATTGCAGAAAGACAAACTTCTCATCATAAGTCAGTTTATGGTTTCTAATGACTGCTTATACTCTTTATGAAATTTTCTTGTCTCGCGAAAGCAATAGGCTTAGAAATCTGTGCTATGGAGCGGAAGACGCCGAATTTCGTTATACAACTATCACATTCGCGTTGCAGGTGCCAGTAGCCTCTCTTCGTAGCCATCTGAACCACCCGCCAACTAAAAATGGGGCGATCAGCAATGGGATGTAAAGATTACGAAGAAAAAAATTTTGGAACGAAACGTCACCGAAACTATAATATTTAATCTGACTTAAATTTTAGTCTATGTGCGGCTAGAACTCAAATGTTTTATTACTATAATGCAACCAAAATCTCGCCTGAAATTTTCGAGTGAAATTCTCAGCTTCTGGTTTACAAATAAATGAGATTCCGATAGTGAACTTTCAAATTAAACTCGTAAATGTATCAGAAGAAAAGAGTCTCGTCGCCACGTGACATTGATGATAATAAAAAGTGTAGATTCGTTTGTTTAAAACGTTGATTTATATACGAACTTACGTGCGTGTACCAGCATTTTAGAGATATTTTTGGCAGTCTTGACCACAAAAACAGAAGCAGCCACTTGACGGCGGTAGTACGCCGGTCACTACAATCTCTGTATGTTTTATCATTTTTTGAACAGCCTAGTTATTCTCTTTCTGAGTTGATGAAAGTCATTTTGCATTGACTTACTCGAATCAGTCCACTTTCACTCAGGTCCTTCGGCGGACAGCTTGTCTTGCGAAAAAAAGGCTCGCGAAAGTGGAAGGTCATTGGTATTCACCACTTCTCGGGCACCGCACTAATGGGACCAGCGAGGCTAACAAAACATAATGTGCTGTATAGTAAATCCGAGACGATCGACATTGCTATCACGATTATACCAGACCTATTCAAAATACTTGAGCTTCACGACATGATACAAAATTTCACGGGATTGTCATAGTGGGAGGACGCTCTCTTGCGTAACTGTTTCGTTAGCAAAATTTCATAACCATATAAATCTCGACTATGTTAGAATAATGAGGCTAATCGCAAATGACTTTTTGATAAGGGAAAAATGTCTATGTACGATACTGTTTCACCTGCGTAGCCCTCCTAAAGTAACGGTGTCAGAAATACGCGTGTAGAACGTTTTTGATCATTGAATGCACAAGTTCTTAACTTTGATTGCACACATCAACAAGTTTCTAAGATGTAAGCAGACGTAAAAATATGTTCTGCGACGGCTCCGCGCTTTGATTACGGACGATATCGCGATTTTACCTAAACTTTGTTATCTTACGTGAAATTTTAATCATGCTCCAATCAAATGCACCCTAAGAATGAATGTTGAAAAGGTTTGCTAATGATATGATATGATATGATATGAGAGATAAGGGTCTACGAGTAGTATCGTCATATCTTCACATTGTTCCTCTCCATCCCATCATCTAGACATCATTCTCTTATCAGCTCAAGTCTTTTAGCATAGTACTCATAATTTTCTTCCTGCACATTCTCCGTAAACTTTTTAGTAAGAGTCTTTTCTTTGTTGGGATTGACATTGAGATTCCAGTCTTCAGTGGACGCTAGCATCTCCTAAGATCCAGTCGATCCAACTATCACGGAGCCGAAGTTGGACAATACACAGGTCCGTTAGAATGGTCTTTGCGAACTTGTTGTTCTGTACTAAAGAGTTATTATTTAGGAGCTACACTCGCTCACCTGCAGCTGTGGCAGCTTTCTTCCAAGAACGAGGAAAATAACATGCCAGACTCCTTTTCATTAGGAATATAAGTGTCTTCCCAATAATTTTCATCTTTCACAGGCCTCGCTTACGATCATTTCTAAGCGAAATTTTCAATGTCTGATGCAGTATTTGTTGTAGGTGAAATCAGAAAGCGGTGCGCAATGCTGGGCTCGCTACAAGCACACCAGATAGAAAAGAGGTTCAGACAAAGTCGCCACCTCCAACTAGAAGCATAAAAAAGGGTGGGGTATGTTAGAAAGATCATTTACGTACGATCCGCGTATACACCTCCATAAAAATTATGCTACAGGGCCGGCCGCGAAGGCACAACCAGGCAACTGGTGACAGCGGTTCGCCAGTAAATGGTAACATCTCTAAGTTATATCACTAACAACAACCTAGTAATTGCTTTCAGGTGATGTTAGTCATTCAGTATTTATTCACTTTTATTAGTCCAGTTTCATTCAGGTACTGCGCCGATCTGTCCGCTTGATGAAAAAGCGAGCAGAGGAAACACAAGACCAGGTGGAGAGAAAGCGATCTACTAGTTTTTCTGTTTGGTCAATTTTGTGATGAAAAGTTTAGTTTTTGAACATAGAGTCTATTGGTTCCACTTCATCGATTCATTTCTTCACGGCAGTATAAATAATGGAATAAGTAGCATGGCTCCTGAATATGGGCAAAACTCGGATTGACTGTTAGTACTTAGATGTGATCCACTGAGACTTGTATTGTCATACTCAAATCGAATAATCTCATACATTCTGCTTTCGTAAACTGTATGTATTTGTGTCTCGAAAGTCGGTTGAACTTTCGATACACATTCGATTTCGATTGCTAGATGTGCATCGGCACTCTCTTGACTATCAAAATTTGATTTCCCTTTCATTGTACTTTCAAATTAGTAGCGTGACTGAGCGTAATTTGGCAGCTAAGCTGCAGATGAATGGATGTTCTCTTATCTTACTTTAGAGTCTTCATACTCAAGTTCACCCTCACAACAGTCTACTCTGAACCCGCCCCATCATGTAGTAGAATATAAGCGGCCGAATGTTTCAATTAAATTCCCACTTGGTGTAATTCTTCGCTACTATTCCTGTGTGTACACTATCTTTCTCACTGTAATCTTACTATATAACGTGTATTCCTAATATTATACTGTTATTGTAACGATAAACATTAATCCAAGGCCTAGAAGCTTGACACAGAGGTAAATAATAATTGTCCCTTGTGGCAAACTACCTAATATTTTTATTGTAAGAGCGCTCCATAGATAAGAGCGATATGTGCTTAAAAATATTTCATTACATAGAAGTGCACGTGTTTTCCGCCCTTCTTTTCCAAAATCTATCGCTCTTAACTGTGGAACTCTAGGGTAACTCAAACATTATCACATTCTCCACTGAATTTCCATCACACTTACCCGTCAATTATCGAGTAGAATTTCGATAGTCATGGGAAATACTCTAACAGAATTTGAAAAATCGTATCAAATTACATAAATACTCTGCCACATACATCAGGGAATGGTTGAGCTGGACGAGATCAAACTGGATATCCACTGACATGGGAAGAAAATTTGCTCTGCTTGAGCGAAACCAGGTGATCCTTGTTTTTTTTTTGCGAAAGCCTGCATGGCTCATTTGCCCTCTTCATTCGTGGAACAGCGGATAGTATTGAATTGTTTGCTCTAATGGCAAATTTCAAGAGGACTCCTTTCTTTAGCAGACTTCTGTGATTGTTCTATTGTTTAGGAAGCGTGGTAGTGGTTCAATTGGTGTAAAAGTTGTTTCGTAGCCTACGAAATATTTTATCCTCATTGAGACATTGGAATAAATGCTTATCACATGTAATTTTGCATGTAATCAAGACAGTACTACAGCGCTCCCATGTCGTCATAATAAATACTACTGGGTTCTCCCATAACTCTTTCTCATTTCATTATTTTTGTTGATTCAACTATTTCTTATCTAAGGAAATAAATCAATCGACATTACATCCATCATAATTATCAATTATATGCAACCATTTACTGACA